CTAATTATATTTTAGATTTTTTATATTTTAAAATAAGATGTTTATTCTCTATTTGATTATATTTATCCGCAATTAGTTATACAAATTCAAAAATCGAGCTTTGAGAAGTTGTATATTTGCATAGTTTACTTGTAATCTTAAATTTTAAATAAACATTGGTTTTATGTGGTTTTGAAAAAATGGTAATATTTTTTAAATAAAATATAAATTTAAAAATATCATAAAATTTTGAAAAAAAAATATCGATATCAGTATTAAATTAATCTTTTTAAAAGTTCTTGTGTTTTGGTGTAATTTTATTAATTAAATTATGTTAGTTATCAATGATTATCATAATTATATTTTAGATTTTATATATTTAAAATAAGATATTTATCCAATATTTGATTATGTTTATCTGCAGTTAGTTAGACGAATTCAAGTACAGAGCTTTAATAAGTTATATTTATGCATAATTTATTTGTAATCTTAAATTTTAAATAATATGCATCAATAAACAATACTTCGTGCATAAAAAATTGTTTTTAAGTGTTTTTGTAAAATGTTTTATAATATAGTATAGATAGTATAGATTATGTGTTTAAAAAAAATTATTTTTGAATAAAATATAAATTTGAAGATATCATAAAAATTTAAAAAATACATATATCAATGTTAATGTCAAATCAACTATTTAAAATTTTTCATTTTTTATGTAATTTCTTTAGGGGGTTGATATTGCTACCCCCTCACCACCTTTCTACCCCCCTGCACCCTTGTCTCCCACCTCACAAATTTTTTCATACTCACATCAACACCACACTCACACACTCACACGGTTTTAATATAAAAATTTTAAATTTACACTTTATACCCTTATAATTAGTTAATTAATTTACTTTATACCTTTTCCTTTTAAAATTTTCATTTTATACCCTGATCAAATTAACATACATAATCGTATATCAATTAAAATACGTTCAAAAAATACGTTTTAATTTTAACAAGTTACACCATTATAATCGTCACGTCAATACCTTCGAAATAAACCCAATATTGAATATTTTTTGACTTAATTATATCATTATATATATTACTATGAAAAAATATTTTTAATATTTACATTTATAGTTATTTATTTAATTTATGATATGCCATTTATTTTTTCAATTTTTGTTTTACATCATTATCACATAAAAATACATAATTCTATATTAACTAAAATACGTTATAGCATGTCACGTTAAATTAGCTCTTATATATATCAAGTAACATGTTACATTATGAACAATAATATCGACATTAAGTACAAAATATGTTAGGAAAATACGTTTTAACATGTGTACTCGTTTACATAATTGTAAAAATAATTTGATTTGAAATAAAGTAAAGTTACTGATTTGAAATAAAGTAAAGTTACTGATTTGAAATAAAGTAAAGTTATTGATTTGAAATAAAATAAAAAAAATCGATATATATATATATATCGAACGATTTCACTCTCTTCGATTTCACTCTCTTATAAAATTATTCGTTCATTCGATTTCACTCTCTCATTCTTCAATATACATCAAGTATGGGAGAAGATTTGATAACAACACCAGAATTTTTCACCAAAGAGGTACAATATTATGTTAATTGATATTTAGATTTATTAATACTTACTTGTACAAATGAAAGTTGTAATTTTTTTTCCAGATGTTCAATTCTCGGGAAGAAATAACCGAGTGGGTGCACAATGTGGGGCGTTCAGTTGGTTGTGTTATTGTTACGAAAAGATCAAAGGCAAAGCCGAATGGAAATGTTTATAAAGTTGTGTTTATGTGTGAACACGGCGGAGCTTACAATTATAAAATAATTCCCATTCCACTTGATGCAATCGATATATATTGGAAAAAACTTGATTTTTCACCATGTGTGTCCACACAAGATGACGAGATTGGATGTGATGATGAASTTCAATTGTTCAAAGAAAAATTTAATAAGCAGTYGTATCATGGTCGTAAAAGCTTACTCAGAAAGTTGAAGGATATAATAATGCCATCAAAACCGTTCGATGAACCCTTGGTTCATAAAACCACTCGTGGCCGTCCATCTA